AGCGGAATGCTGCATTACAAAGTTCTTCACAAATAATACTTGCGCTTGTGGAAATTACAGATAAAATATATGAAGATATTCCTAAATACGGAAATTCAAATGATCGCTCGAATATTTTTACCGTCGTTGGGTTCAACATCATCAAATACAAGGTAATTAATTATAACAGTAATTTTTTTTTGTCTTGGTTGCTCGTCGGATAAAATATTAGCTAGGATGGCATCGATTTTAATTAAATTTGACGTCATTTCATGAGCGAAGAATGCATCATACTTAAACTGTCACATCTCTACAAGCAAAATGATTTGATCCGAGTTAGATTGAGCGTCAATCGATGAACATGCAACAACGAAGAACAGGATTGTTGGTCCGGATATAGTCGATGTTTAACTCTAGCCCATTATCAATTAGGCGTACAATTAATTGAGTTGTCATAAATAGCTACTTAACACACTTAAGCTACTTAATCAGTTTCAAGCAGCTACTTAACACACTTGAGAGCATACGAAAATTTCTGACATAAGTGATATAAGTGATATTTTATCGTCAATAAAAAGTTGCACTCGAGCATTCTTTGTTATTAACGGCGGTGCTCCTCATTTTGTATCCTTCATGGATAATAAAAACGGAGCCCTCTGTTTTTGGCAGTCAATTGAAAATATATTTTTACTTCCTTCAAATTTTTAGTGCATGTCATTATTATGATTTTTTATTCTTAACTCATCCAACCTAAAATTGTGTAACTAAGTTGGGTATAACTAAAGAAAACAAAGCATGGGTGGACTTCCTGATGAAACATTTAGGGTATAACTAAAGAAAACAAAGCATGGGTGGACTTCCTGATGAAACATTTAGGGTATAACTATAGAAAACAAAGCATGGGTGGACTTCCTGATGAAACATTTAGGGTATAACTAAAGAAAACAAAGCCTGGTTGGACTTCCTGATGAAACATTTAGGGTATAACTAACTAAAGAAAACAAAGCATGGGTGGAATTCCTGATGAAACATTTAACTCCTATTGTCCGACTCGAGCGCTATGTCCGCAGGGCGTTGAAAGAGCCCAGTAATCTTTCCATATAAGTCCTAGCAAATTGTGGTACGTCTCGGCCTGCTAGAGTATAGAGTCTGGTTAAATGCTTCCGCAATGAAACGGCTAACTACTCACTTAATTGCCCATGTTTTTCACTACTAGTACTTTTTTGATCTGCACGACGGCCTTGGAAGATTGGCCAAGTTTCCTGTGTCATTTCGTATAGAAGAACAAAAGCCCAAAGCTCATCATCAATTTTTCTATTATACTTTTGACGTTATGATTTACAGTGCTTCTTTTTTAACTTTCAACTCTAACTTTTTAAGTGAAAACGTATACGTTCTAACTTAACAATTGATGATAAAATGACAACGGTAGATGAATATCGTTGTCCCGATAAGTATGAGTTCCAAACGTAATTAGTAAGTTAGACGAATTAGTAAGTTGTAAAAAAAGATTATTATTATAATAAAAGCGTATTATAATACAATACGCTTTCAATTTGAAAATTTATTTCAAGCGCAACCAATCTCAAACTAATAATCCTCTAACACTTCCCGGTCTTAAAACTCATCCATGAAACAGGATGAGCGACAATTCACCTCATAAATTAGCGTAAATTCAAATAATGACTAGAAATTTCGTTTTCTCGTACCTTGTACTGCAAATATTTTCTTTATTTTTATTAATTTCACCCAGGACTTCTGAGAGGAGCATAAACTAACCCATCCTCCGTATGTCACCATGAACGGTATTCTTGGCATCGATTTAAGTATGATGGAAAAAAATGCTAAAGCGAGTAAGAAACTCGATTGTTTGTTGTTGATGAATGAGGCTATATATTATATATATTATATTGATATTGATATATGAGGCCATATATTATATTTATATTAACAGAAGTAGCTTGGATTCCCTGACATCAATCAGTCAAAATACTCATTTGTGGTAAACGCTTATAAAATGAAGCGATATGAAAATTTTATTTCTGTTCGTTCTGTTAGGCATTCTCCCAAGAAACCGTCTTCTATTATCAAAAACGTTGCTAAACTTTTTGGATGACTGACTTTATTAACTATGTTAAAATGGAACAATTTTATGTACTTAAAATTGCTAAAACCCGGACCATAAAAAAATCCGGTTTGTTTGAACTGCACCAATATAGCTGAAACCCCGTTGTTTATTGACCATGTTTTTGAATAAGGCCCTGACATAAATGGAAAAATTTTAGCATACTTGAAATTGCTAAAACCCGGACCATAAAAAAATCCGGACCGTTTGAACTGCACCAATACAGCTGTAACCCCGGTGTTATTGACCATGTTTTTGAATAAGGCCCTGACAGAATTAGTGAGTTATTGTCGAAATAGCGATACACTCTTCGCCTTTATGTACAACGTGTAGAAAGTGCCGCTATTTGGACAATATTACCCATTGATTTATCCGAATGCGTGGTCTAGTCAGCGCCGGTGCCCTGGCTCCAGTAGGATTGCTGCCGTAAAAAACCTGGTCTAGCAAGTATCTGGCGCCGTCGTTTATTTCATGACTCATTTGCTCTCAATTCTTCTGAAACTGGCGCTGAAAATTGCCGGTCGCAACCGATACTCTGACGAATCCTACGGCAAAGTAATGCTTAATACGAAAAACTTGACAATAGTAAAGACAAATCAAGTTTCCCATTGCAATCAATTTTATGATTAACAAACCTCTTAAAAATTTTTTTTCGGGGGTCAACTTTTTATTTGCGGAAAATCTCTAGAGAAATGCTGTCCGCTTGATAGTTGACACGTACATATGCGTGATAGGAAATACATTATCAGATTTTGGTATTCCTAAGGTACAAGTCTCGATTTGCCAAGCACGACTGGTGACCTAATCAGAGAAGAAAGTCGAACAGAACCCCGAACTCGAGTTATCTGATGAAAGCCAAAATTCTGCTTCAACTTTCCGAACACGAGCGATAACATGTCGTGCTTTCGTGTAATGAATTTATATTATGAAGAAAATTCGAATTTAAATTTTTTACAATGAGTTTCCTTCTACGAATAACGAAATTTCGTGTACATGTCACAGGCCACCGCATCGCTGTAACTTCATCCATGTGATTCATCGGAAATTAAGACATATCCTGACCTAATGAAGGATTCAAGTTTATGATAATAAAATTAGTAGCTTTTTGAATGAGAGACTTGTTTACGTAAGTCGTTTTGATATGAGATTACCGTGACAAATTGGATTCCTACACAATAAATGTATGAATGCGACTATATGGTCACCTAACGTGGTTTTGCGTGAGGGCTTCGTAACTTTTTTTATTTTAAGATTGAGCTGTAGCCATGCGATTCAAAATTGTACATATATTGTATTACAAAACGCTTAGTGATCAGCACGACTGATATTGACTGATAAACGCTAGAATTTGTCCTTGGGCAAGTTCCTTCTCATCATTTTCAATACTACTTTTATCTATTAAAAATATTTGACATGAATTTGTTAGTTTACTCTACAGAAACCACACAGACCAGTTTACTCTACAGGAACCAATAGAATCACAATGACTTTCGCCCTCCTTTAGATTTGCGAGTTTGCGAAATGTATTCCGCAATGCTGACTATACGATCGATGCATGCCGTTCTCGTTAACCTTTAGATTTGAGCATAGCTTGGGGTCCACCCATTGCATTTGCATATCAGGTCTAGGAATTGTTTCACCTGCTCAGCGTGATCTCGCCAGAGACAATCACCGGACAATCATTGTGAAATGGGCTCCACAATACCTAGTGCGATAGCTTTGCTATGAAAATTTAAATGGAAAGGTCAATAAAATTTTATGTTCATAGGACATGCATTTTGTATTTTAGGCAAAAACACTGCACGAACGATGTCGGAATGAAATAAATTCCTCCGAAACTTAAAATTTTTGAAAAATGGTGCTGCTAAAATCCCGTTTTTTTTTTTCGAAGTAGCTGAATGCAACCAAGCAACATATTTTATTTCGTCTGACACATAAATATCTATTCACCTTCGACATTAATAAATATTATACTGTCCTTTTCCATGGAGCTAAAAAATCATACCGAACAGACAATAAATCTGGTTACAATCGCCTGCCATATATTCATAACTTTTAGTCGTATAACTCCAGGCTCATTTCTTGACAATTCGATATGCATGCGTACTCGACCACGCTTGTACGGCGCTTTCACATGCAGTAAAAGAAATTGCATGCAATAAACATTCAATTTCACGCGTATGTTATGAATATTAATGAAATACATGTCATCGTTAAACCCTTTTCGAGTGGGCGCTTTAGAAAGCGCCGAGTGGGCGGACGATGTGTATACGTACTAGATTGTCCGTAAAGTTCGGTGCCGCAAGCAGCGCGCGCGAGAGAAAGTGACCTCGGGGGAAAAAAACATGATGTAGAATGCACTTCTGTTGCATGCATACAATTCCTGTATACATACCTTTGTTTTACAGTCTGTTTGAGTAGATTATTGATGTAGAACAGTTGCCAATGGATTTTTTAAATCTCTGTAATGTTATACGTATTCCTTTTCTGGCCCGGCTCTAGGTCAATTGTGATTAGTCATGGTTGCTCAATTTCTAGCCTGATAAGACTATAATTGCCTGGGATTACGCTAAACAAATCGTCATAAAAGCGAACGGGACAACATGTTTTTGTTTTCCGGTTTAAAATTTCGTTGATTACTTGGGAGCTGGATTTAAAATCGTTACTACAGAATATTATAAATTTGATAGAGCTTCGATGAACGACCGTAAATTTAAACTTCTATACATATTTATGAATCGGAAATGAATTCATCCATTTACCTTGAATTCTTTAATATGATACACAGATATTATCACTGGCATCCTTTGGAATGCGAGTGAATGTGATTAAGTTAAGTTAATAAGTAAGTTGAGGCTAATAAATATTTATACAACCATCGTTTTGATTGCCACAGACGGTGAGCGCGTGGACCGAGCCATAGCCATCCTGCGTCAGCTCAGCGAGGAGTGGACGATCAACGCTGAAAAAGGTGCCATAGTAAATAATTACCCACAAAAAAAATTGTCTGCAATTTTTTTACATTGCTTTTGTGCTTAAATTTTTGTTTGGAATATAAGTTTGAATATAATATATTAATATACTACCCTGCAAAGCGAGGAGTGGACGATCAACGCTGAAAAAGGTGTCGTAGTAAATAATTACCCACAAAAAAATTGTCTGCTATTTTTTTACATTGTTTTTGTGCATAAATTTTATGTTTGTAATATAAGTTTGAATATAATATATTAATATACTACCCTATTTAAACTTCTTATAGTTGTCAATGACAACTGAACGCATAATGAATGCTTCATAATTTCTCAGAGGAAAGTGAGAACAAAGTCGAACAGCTGAACGACAAGATCGCATACTACAACTACTTCAATCGTAGTTCTCGGCCTGCCTACCGCCGCAGCAGCAGCACCAACTCACACAACTATAACTACGTGGTACCTCAAACTCCTTCTCAAACCCAGAAGCCCGACCAACTTATCAAAAACGATCAAGTTCGCTCCAAGATAAAAGAAGACGCGCTTGCAATTGCCAGCGAACTCATCGAGATCGCCAACCGTCGAAGCCCGAGTCGTAGTCCAAGCCCTCCTAAATTTTACGCAAAGCAAAAGTCACCTTTTGACTATCCCGACAATAGGAGTGACTCAGCTAAAGCTTCCAACGGATATCCAAGCACCAATTTAAACGGTTATAACAAAGATTCCCCAGGTTACATCAAAGGATACCAGCCTCTTCAGTTTGCGAAACATTCAGCTTATAATTTCAGCAAGCCGGGTCTGAACGGTCCTCTTACTGCACCTCCACGTCTCGACGAGAAACAGAAGACTTTCCTGCCCTTCACTTTCCCCGAGCAGTTCCCGTACAAAATGCCTGCAGGCTTCACCACCAACGGGGTTACCTCGCCATCGGCGCTACCTCCAGTCTCGTCGCGGAAATTCAGCGAGGAGAACAATTTCCGTCGTCCTCTCGGTAACTATTGAAGTTCGAGTGATTTTTAATAATTACTTCTTTTAAGTATTCTGCTGAAAGTTTAACTTTTTAGCGCATTTTCTCATTTATGGAAAAAATGCACTATTGTGCTCGCCATGTCCGTCCGTCCGTCTGTCCGTGACCTCAAGTTTTCGTCGACGCGAAAATGCGCTCTCTGTCACTCACTGCAGTGAGTACTGAATTATACTTTTTTTTTCAAGTAATTTAGGTCTCTCATTCTTTGCTTTTGCGCACTTTTCGTTTCATTTTTCTCTGAGAAATATCTAGTGTCCATATTGTTATTTAGTTACCCCTATAAATGGATATTTTCTGGACGGCTATTTAGAAAATATACATGGAGTATTATTGTAAAAAACGGAAGTAAAGGCATAAACTATTTCGTTCGCAATTTCATTTATTAAGACGGAATGAATAAATTGAAAAATACACGGTCTACTGAGCTTTAAAGCGATATTTCAAGTAAATTATATCGAAATCACATGATTGATAATAATCCATTTATATTCGGAATTTGTTCTACCAGCAACTCTGCACGAGGACGAGGTGATGGCTCGTCGTCGCTACAGTGAAGATGTCCGCAAGAACTACCACGGTGAGTTGCGACACATTAACTTCATCTGAATAACAGTAATTAGAGTAACAAAATTAGATTTTATATTAATTTAACATTGATTCTGCTTATAACATGTAAATTTTAGTCCTGTATAGCTGTTTATTGAATAAATTGCAGCTTATTAGCATCGTTGAAGCTCCGAGTATGAACGCCTTCAATAACAGACTAGACTAAGCTATGCAGGAGTATATGTTCAGTCTTAAAATGCCTAGCAAATTACGGATCAGGCAATAAGTCCAGCAGCTATCTCAATCAATCGTCAGTTATGGAAAGATCGGGTTCCAAAGGCCGGATCCCTTGTGAATCAAGTCACGAAAAGTTCAAGAATTGGCAACAGGCCATGGGGGCCTATTTTTCTTCAATGACGACACTTCTATTCTATTCTATTCTATGATTGTTTTGACTTCCCATCTCATCTTCGGACAAAAATATACGACTCGCATTTGAGAATGCAAGCAGTGCATTTATTGTGCATTTGGCGGCGAAAGACATCTACATTCCACCGCTGATATTAAAATTAACTCTAGAATTATCCACGTTTAAATACTTTAAACTTTGAAATTCCTATATAATGTGATATTGGTTTAAATTTCTTGAAGATTTAACAAGAATGCTATGTTGCATGTGAATGCAGGTTAAATTATTTGAATTCATCATACCAGAATTTTAGCGAAAAAAATGATTAAATAAATCTTCTATTGTTATTTATCCGACGAATTTTCAATTCATAATTGACAGAACAAAATTTAAGGTACCTAAACGCAATATTTATAATAATTAATAATGTTTTGCAATTTTTAGACACTTCTGAGGTAGCCGACGAGCTGTACCGCCACCAGCGACGCATGTCTGAGGCCGGCGTCAGGAAGCACTCAGGTATCTTATCTCAACATTAATCTTTACTTATCTTAACATTTCATGCCAGCTGAAAAGAAGTACAATTTTTTCAGATTATTGTACCGTGTTAGCGTATTAGGTAGCACAATGTACGCATTATATATGTTTTCTTTACATTGCGTAAAATTAATCCAGTTTGCGCAAAAATATCCATTTCGTCCCATATCTTCAAAGTACCCATATCTTTGCATACTTAATTATTATACTTATGTATCCCTTCTTGTTATTTCTGTTTTATTGAATGATTCTGTAACTAACTCCACTTTGCTTGTACTCAAGTGAATAAACTTCCTTGCATGCCGCTAATCTACTGGGAAATAAAAAAGCTTTAGTTTCATTTCATATCTCCATCTTTGTTCTCCTTGAACCATTATTTTTTGGGTTCGATTCTGTAATTGCTTGTGGTTTTTTTCTAATGTCGTAGTTTTAAGTACAGAAATAATTTGCACTTGGCCACGTCTGCTGAGGTTAAAGGTGTCTTAAATCTTTATTTTCAGGGTTCGATTCTGTGATTGCTTGTGTTTTTTTCTAATGTAGTAGTTTTAAGTAAAAAAATAATTTGCACTTTGCCACGTCTGCTGAGGTTAAAGGTATCTTAAATCTTTATTTTCAGGGTTCGATTCTGTGATTGCTTGTGATTTTTTCTAATGTAGTAGTTTTAAGTACAGTGTTAGGGTTTTATAGAGCAGATTTTAATTCATCAAGTATTTTTATATTTGACAAGTATTTTTAGTATATGTACCTGCCGAAATAATAGGCACTTAGCCGCATCTGCGGAGTATCAAGGTAAGACCACTTGATTATTCCGAGAAGCGAAATAAATTCAGCCAAAAAGCTCCTTGGTCGAGCATCATTGGTGAGTAAAATTCTGAATTTATGAACGTTGTTAAAATTGTTCAATATTTGCTTGACGTTATGGATGGTTCGTTGCAATCAATATATGGTTCACATCCTGAGAAGTTTTGGTTCTCGTATCTATTATGAAAGTATGTTGTGGAAAAATTATTTTCAAGTTTTAATTTATCTTATACTGACTTAAAATTACTCCATACGTGAATTAAAATCGACATATAAAAAATAAATTCGTAAGACTCAAACAAAATATCACCAATTTCCCGTATGTTTGTAAAAAATCTTCAAAAATTGGCGAGTCAGCCAGATAGTTTATTTTTCAACTCATCGATATATTTTATCATTATTCAAAAGCGGTGTGGACACAAGGCTTTTTAATCAGATATATTGTATCATTATTCAAAAGCGGTGTGGAAACCAGGCTTTTCAATCAGATATACTGTATTTTATCATTATTCAAAAGCGGTGTGGACACAAGGCTTTTTAATCGGATAACAAGAAAGTTTACAAACAGCATCGAGGCTTGAGGTCGACAAACTGGATTCTTGACCTTGTCGAGGACGAGTAACTGAGTAACTGATGAAAAACTCTTGTGTCTCGACTCCCACACGAGGATCATGAACCAAAACTCAACATAGAATTCTAAACTCGAAACCAACTCCGTAGAATGTAGTCGTATTTAGACTTACGTTTCATTTATAATTGAAAATGCTGCTAAAAATCGTTATTTTTTATATGCATTCTTCTATTATATTCATGATCAAATTTACTGATTCGGTAGGCATTCAGTTGAACATACGGTTAACAAAGCCATATGGGTATATTTCAATATATTCCTAAGCAGCTATTACTAAAACGCCCAAGTTAGCACCTAACACATTTTATAAGGTGCAATCGTTGAAATAGGCTTCCGCTGTGACTAATTTCATGACCTCTTCCACGCAATGGGCGCTTGAGCGTGAAGGCCTCATCTCGCTGCTGGGCACTGCATTACGCTTCACAATACAGGCTTCCGTGATGATGGTTTCCGTTCCGTAGGGACCAGAACGACTTGTTCAGGACTCCTGAATTGGGTCTTATTCACCCACTAGCCTTAGAGCAAATAGGAGCTTTGAACATTGAAGCTCTTTCATGCAAGACAAATAGAGAGGTAGACCGTTTTGACATTCATGCTCAAGATTAGGATGTCTTGATACTGCTTTCTTGTATAATTGGCAGAGTTATATAATTTTATCATCCAATAAAAGTGAACAATTTCGTTCATATCTCCTGAACATGGTGCATAATAGATTATCTGGAATTTTTTACGTTTGATTGTATGTTATAAAATTGAATTCATATCAGATTTTGATGATTTACTCTGGTTATTTATCTAATGCTCAAACAAAATTAGATGTCAACGTCAATGAGATTCTTTCACGGATGTAATTAGCGTTTCCTGTGCATGTGGCAAGATTCCGCAGCACCGGTTGGCTAGCAACTTGCCGTGCTTGCTTAGCCGTGTATATTCAGTGATGATCTAACCGTGGTCGGTGTTGTGTTGCGCAGCGAGTGTTGTGACTGTTCGAAATAATGAGGACACTTCAGCATTTTTTTACACTGTGACATCTGAAAATTTCATTTTGGCGTTAGATCTATTTTTCGTTGTGTTTGGATGTACATCAGTGTAAATTTGCTTTTTGCTCGACTCGCTTTTGCCCGTTTTTCAAATATCTTTTAATGAAATCGACGGTGGCGCGGGGCGGCTTGTGAGTTGTGTCACAGTGTCAGCCTGACAACTGGTAAACTGCGAGTCTGGGACAATGTCAGGCGTCTCAGTTGTCTCTGAATGTACTTTAGAATTCGGATCATATTTTTTATATGAAAATCCGTCTCATTGCTGAACTGAAATTTGGATTGAGATTTTATCAATAACACTATCCATTATTCTTTATTAAAGTAATCACAGTCACAGCCTCACAGGACACAGGTCAATCAGATTTCAGCCTTCAGGTATGACTAATTGACAATTTTTAATTAAACACAACCTTTTAAAATACTTTAAGAAAGTTTAAATTGTGATTTCTAAGGTAGGTAAATGTCAAGCAGCTGAAAAGTTGAAAACCTAAGACTAAACAAGAGACAAGACTAGTCAAAGCACAGAAAAATTCTGATAGGATTCTTGGTCTGCCAAATGCTAATTATATTTATTTTTAGTAATACTTTAGATAAAGTGCATCAAAAAAAAAAAAAGTTTTCTTTAATTATATGTTTTTTTGGGGTGCACATTAAGAATCTGAAATCTGTTTTTGGTGGTCGGCATCAGAAATTTTTAATAGAACCTGTTCCTAACTGGACCTAACCTTCGAGGTTTTCGTTGATTGGCTAGGTTTTTCTGGCTGCCAGATGGACTCCAAACATAGAAAAAACCTATTGGCTAGGTTTTTCCGGCTGCCGGACTGACTAAAAACATAGAAAAAAAACCTCGTAGGTTAGGTCAAGGTCCAGTTACTGGCAGTTAGGAACAGGTTCCATTAAAAATTTCCGATGCTGACCACCAAAAACGGATTTCAGATTCTTAATCTACACCCCAAAAAACATATAATAAAAAAACACCCTTTTTTTGGATGCACTTAATCTAAAGTAATACATTTTTTTCTATTTAGTGATAAATTTCTGTTACCAGAGACAGACAATGAAGAGTGGAATTTTAGTGTCTCACATTTAGAAGTATATGCATATTATATATACCTACTGGTTCAATAGCAATCTAAAAGTAATTTCAGATTAATTTGAAACTATTTGTACAGTGAAGTATCCAGCATATTCATTTGCTGGCCAAATTAAATTTTGACCCAGATAATCTTGTATGCAAGATTGCAAGTACCTAGTCATAACTAAGTCAGGTATATTAGAAGAATGTAATGCTGGTTGCATTTTACTATGACTGTTTAGTGTGGACTGCATGGTAGCAATATGTATTAATATAAAAATTTTAAAAAGTGTTTGGTAGTCAATCCATACTTGAAAACCATAGATTGAAATTCACTTTACACAGACAGTGTCATGTCTGTGTACTGGTACTGGTAAATATACCTATATAATCTGGAAGCCAGAAATGACATGCTCTTTGAAAATGTTTGCAGTTTATCCAATTGACTGTTCATTGTTCTCATGCTTTGCATAGTTTTGTAGCTTGAATATTCAAATTGTGAACTGTGATGTGTAACTGTAACCTATTATATAGGCTTACTGAAAGCACTTTATTGTAATTATATATAGCATAAATTGTGAAAGTGTAAGAAATGGGTAGTATGAAAAGAGGGTCTTCACTCCCTAGTGGAGACAATGGCAGGAATGTGAGGACTGGGGTTCCTACTTTACGCCAGCCTCCTGCCAAAAGACAAGCTCTAGTCCCAAAGCCTACAGGTAAGAAAGTATTCCAAGAATGTTGTCATTTTTAGCGCATTTTCTCATTTATGAAAAAAATGCACTATTGTGCTACAATTAATATGAAAACACGTTGGATTTGAATTTGATGACACTTAAAACGATTGGCAGGATTTTTTTCTTGCCATTTTATTGTTTTACTCTATTGTGGAGTCATTTAAGCCCTGAATGTTCTTATAGCATAACAAAATGATTATAAATAAATCAAATACCAGTACCATAATTTTAGTTAAAGAGTCACAGTTGACATTGATTGAGCTAAGTATTTGTTCAACTGGTCTTGGCATTTGGCAATGTAATTCAAAAATGTCTTCAATTTCTTCTCTTCAAGAATGAGGTAAGTTTTTGAAATGAATAATTTCAGGATTAAAATACGAATGTCTTTTAACTGATTACTCTGTTCTTTGGACTATTTCATGTTTGTATGCATTTGTCTTTTTTTTAAATCCAATAAAATGAGCCTTAAAAGTGACATTAAGTTTGCATGCACTTACGGTATTTCTAAATTTAATTTCATATCATTTATACTCTGCCGCATCAGCCATTTTCAGTTGTTTTGCATGTTTGTTTCATCTTCAGCTTTTCTCCTATCTTGGTTGCATCTACTTACATGTTGGTTTCGGTTTTTTCCAATTCTTTATTTTTCTGATAGGTACCAGTTATAAACTCATTTACTACGGTATCTATTTATAAAATTGTATTGTACATTGTCAGCATTGAATTGTAAGTCTGTATCAAATGTGGCTCTGAGAGCTGCATGCTCCTTGAATAACAAATTTGTTTCCAGATGCTTCAATTGTTCTCACTGAAGACACCGATCAGTTCATGATTGGCCAGCGAGTGTGGGTTGGAGGCAGTAAGCCCGGTGTCATTTCCTTCATTGGAGAAACGCAATTCGCTCCTGGAGAATGGGCCGGAGTTACACTTGATGAACCTAATGGTTAGTGATTATGACCAATGGGCAATACTGTGCAATATAAAAATGACTGCTGTTTCGAGATAAAGAATGTGGCTTATTAGAGTCTACGCAATTTAAATACCTACAGTTGCAATATTTTCATAAAATCCGAATAATTTCTTGCTGTAGTTCAACTGAATAATGCATAGTATACTAACATCAGTTGCTCGATTTTTATATGCAACTGTCAACTCCAGTTGTTGTCCAGTTATGGAGTACGGTAGTATATATGAATTTGCACAAGCATATGCAACAGAATATAAAGCTGGAGTATTGAATTGCTGCAGGTAAGAACGATGGCTCAGTGGCCGGCGTGCGTTACTTCCAATGCGAGCCAAAGAAAGGCGTATTCTCGCGCCTCACGCGCCTATCCCTCGTGTGTCTGTACGAGGAGTACATGGATCGTGATCCTCACGAACCTTCATGCGCCCGCAGCAGCCTCAGCCCTGCCCGTAGTATTTCTTCGTCAGGAGCAGGTCGCTCTTCAGTCACCCCCACACGGAAAGTCTCGCCCCCTGCCAGTGTCAAGTCCGCAGCCACCCCGTCTGTCAAGTCCACACCCATGGCTGCGCCCACCGGTGCAAGCGTTGCCCGGAAAGCCTCGAGTAGCACTCCTGGTGTGTGTCGCTCATATGTTTCTGGGTATTTGAATCCTGAATTATCTAATACGGTACTATAGCATACCTATACTTGAAAAGTATAAAATATTCACTTCCATCGTATTGTTTGACTTCATTCTTCCTGGTTTAATTTCTATCTAGGCTTCAACGATTTTTTCTCTAATGGAGTTTAGGTTGTAATCTTCTGCACATATATATTTTTTTCGTTTTATGCCTTTATGTCATTCAAATAATTGTCGCCATATATGTTTACAAAGGTTGTTTTGCACTTACTTGTGTCTTCATTGACGTTTATTATGGCCAGCTGCTCCGAGTCTGACCTCGTACGGCCAGCTTAGTGTAGGTGACCGTGTGGTGGTGAACAGCAAGAGCGGCGTGAGGGTTGGTCTGCTCAGACACCTCGGCCGCACTGAGTTCGCTGATGGACTCTGGGCTGGCATCGAACTCGATGAACCCGCGGGCAAGAATGATGGATCAGTTGCCGGAAAAAAGTTCGTGGCGTTTGTTATCTATTATATATAGAATGCATATTAATGAGATATTTCTTCATTGCAGAGGCTTAAGTATAGCTCGGAAATAAAGAAAAAATAATTAAAATTATCAAAGAAAGATGCACAGTGTTTTTTTAGAAATTCTTGAGAACGGACTTATTTTTAGCGTATTTTTCATTTATGAAAAAAGGCGCTATTGTGCTCGTCATGTCCGTCTGTCTGTCTGTCCGTCCGTGACGACGTTTTCGTCGACGAGAAAATGCGCACTCTGTTGCTCACTGCAGTGAGTACTGAGTTATATTTTTTATTCATGCGGAAGCATTTTCAGTAGCCTAGTCCAGTCATTGAAAAATCCATGTGCTGTGGAATCAAATGCAATATCGGGTACTTGTATTCCAATGGAGTTCTTCAAATCGCTGCCACCTGCGTGCAGATACTTCACGTGCAAGCCGCTGCACGGACTCTTCTCACCCATCCAGTGCGTGAGTCGCCTAACAGGAACCACAACACCGCGGCGCGCCTCGGCCGCGTCGCGCTTGCCATCTTCATCTCTTCGGCGCTCCAACAGCAGGGAGAGCTTGGGTGGGCAGAGCGTCACGTCTAGTGTCGGTGCCTCGAGCGTCGCTTCTTCTATTGCGCGTCCCACATTCAGGGTGAGGCTGTGGGCACGCAACTCGAGTTTCTGTTCTTACCAGGCATTTGACATTCAAAAAATGTTGAGCGAAGTAAACGCGTACGTCAATGCTTTTTTACAAACGCTGATTGAAATATCTGGCGTGTGGGCAACGGTGAATACTAATACTGGTACTTAAAATCAAATTGTAATAAACGTTTTTTAAAGGTTGATTTAAACCACAGACTTGGAAACAACGTAGAATAGACGAAATCAACTCGTAATAAACGTTGATTTGAACCATTGACATGAAAACAACGTATAATTGACGAAATCATCTCGTAATCAATGTAGTTTCAACGTCATTTGACGTAAGGGTTGACGACTTTCCTTATGATTTCTGTGACATCCAAGAGGTAATAGCATACAAAATATTTTAGAGGAAGGTTACGGTATGGTATATTAGATATTTGAGGGATAGTAATGACATCCAGAACTTTTGGAGAACATATACTCAAATGATGAGAGGTCTTTCAAAGGCTGAGCAGAACATAGGAACCAAAAACTGTACCTCCATCCATGCAGTGTGGTTCAGTGGGCCAGGAGAGTCCTTAACAGCAAGAATTTATATATACTAATCCTTGTCAGATATTTGAACTGTCTGTGTTTGTTGTGTCAACCCATGCTTCGTCTGTTTGTCATAGACTTTAAAGTTAGTATGTTTTGTATGATTTTGTCTGTCGTCGGTCATGGGTGCATGTTTTGTAAAAAAGACATAAAATGAAGTACCGTACCGGTACCAATAAATAGGTTAATACCGGAATTTATCATTTTAACTCATATTCTTACCAAACATATAGCTATTAAGTGCTCATGTACGTAGTTCTCGCGCATTTCCGATCTAAAAATGTTCAAATAATTTTGATTTATTTTTGACATTTTTTTGTGTAAGCTACAATATCTGTTTGATAACGCCTAATTACAAATAACGCGTGACATATAACAACGAGATTTACTGACTCACTACATAATAAGTACGTACGTAACTTAACGATTTTTTAAAGGGTATCGAAGATGGCCATACTGTGAAAAATGTCTTGCACCATCGTTTCGCCTTGTCAACATTAATTTAGCATTTTTAAATCTTTCAATACCTGCTTGGTTAAAATTATTGCGATTAATCACAAGTTTTATCCCTAGAAATTGTGGTTTTAATTGATATTTAAACGCATTTTACGTGTTTTGTCCCCCCAGAAACGTATTTATGAATTAAATTCGGGATTGAATTTTATCCCTGCTAAATTGATATTCGCTCGTTTCATTTTGATTGATTAACTCAGTCCTCACCACATGATTAAAACGTTCACAAATTTGTTCTGGTTTTCAAAGAGTGTAATTTTCTTACTCAGCTTCCAAGGGTGTTTCTAGCAGTGATGTGTAGTGAGTGTTTTGACCCTTAATTAATGTGCAGAAACCTTTTCTAGTCAGCTTCCAAAGGTGTTATTATAAGCGCTGAGTAGTGAGTGTTCTAAGCCTTAATTAATGTGCAGAAACCGAGCTATGGAGGCATCAACACTGCAGCCCGAGCCAACAAAGCCCTTCAGGTATGCCCCGTACACGGCCCCATGGCTGNATGGAGGCATCAACACTGCAGCCCGAGCCAACAAAGCCCTTCAGGTATGCCCCGTACACGGCCCCATGGCTGCTCTCATCAAGACACGCGGCTGAGACCCTCGTACTGCAACTCCGTCTTTATTATTAACATTTACAATACACTCAGATGAAACTTTGATCTCGAGGCTAGGTAGATCAAACACTAATTCGTTTATAATTGCCTGGAAAGTATGAGTGGTTTGTTACAATTAACGCAGTTAGATAAAACTTTGATCTCGAGGCTAGGTAGATCAAAGACTAATTCGTTTATAATTTGATGGAAAGTATGGGTGGTTTGTTACAATTAACGCAGTTAGATGAAACTTTGAGATCGAGGCTAGGTAGATCAAAGACTACCGGTAATTTGTTTATAATTGCCTGGAAAGTATGAGTGGTTTGTTACAATTAACGCAGTTAGATGAAACTTTGATCTCGAGGCTAGGTAGATCAAAGACTAATTCGTTTATAATTGCCTGGAAAGTATGGGTGGTTTGCTTCTGCTAGCAGAGATAGGTTATAGTTGAGAAATTTTGAGCTGCTACGATAGTTCATGGGCTTTGAGAAATATATTGCTTAACGTCACGGTTTAGGTACTATATCGAAGTTGAGGAATATATAAACGATAAACCAGGAAGTTGAGATAAATTCCAGGTATTGATGGTAAGTCGTAGGTAAATGATCATGATAACCTGTACAATAGGTACGTTTCTTTAGGTAATTGTCGATTGGTCCATTACTTAAAGAAACCTTTTTCCACAGCTTACTTACGTTTTTACTCTTTAATTTTCCGCATGCTTATCACATGTATTCGTATGGTGCAGATAACACCTAGTATCGTGCTTCTTCCCTTTACTTGTCGAGTCGTTTTCAATGGTCCTTGCTTCCATCACATTGTGGCACATTTGTTCTTCGTTCGTCTGTCCAAATATTTTGCTGTGTTTAACTCTGAACTTTATGTTTTGATATCACTTTAATCTGTGATTTGGTAAGTTTGTGTATTGTTTACATTTCGTGTACCGTTCCTCCCGTAATGTTTGCATTGCTTGCAGTCAGCACTGATGTTTTGACCCTTACTTGTTAGCTCGCTGTGTTTTCGTCCTTGCCATGCACCACATTGAAAATTGTCTTACTTCAATTGTAAAAAAAAAACTGTTGAGTAATTGCAATGTTCTTTCACGATGTCGTTATTATTCTAACTTTTTTAACTGTACTGAACGTAGTTTGCTAACCATTGTTTGGTCGTAGAGTACATACTATATATTTGTTTCCTATCCTGTGATGTTATATATTAGCGTATAGTAGTAGTAATTCGATGGTAGCGGAAATTTATTTATTTAGTAAAAAATATTTTATTTTTTGACGCCAGCTCACCCAATATTTTTATATTCGCTTGCAGCAATTAATATCATAACCTTGCATAATCATGTATTTACGTCAAATTATGTACTATTTTTCTTAATCTAGCTTGTTTACTTATGCTTTTTATAATTTATGCGTTTTAATAAATTTTTCCTCCTTCGATATTTAATGTAATTTTTAATAATTAATAGATGCTTCTAATTTTCTAAATGACGAAGTTTCTGTTTCACATTGTTCATTTCAATTTCCAAGGATTTGCATAGTTCACTACCGTATATTGTGATCTTTGTTATTGTTGTAGGTACAATTGATCTTCAATGTTGTGTCTTTTGCTCCAATTTTCACCATTATATTCCATCTATTCACGCTTACTTCTTGCCCGTTTTTGTGCGTCCATGTTTTCGGCGCAGTTAAAGGCTTCACCATTCAACTTCTTGACTTACTCGCGTAGTACTATATAAAAATCTTATTAAGAGAACTTTACGCATATTTTCATTCAGCCAAGCTGTTTCAATTAAAGAAACTATTGAGTCTGTTGAGCGGTTGCCAGCTGTGTTGACGCGTTGTGCGATCAGTTGCTACCAAATTTTTTTATTTATTCAAAAAGTAAAATATTTGTAATGTTCCTTTTACTTTTCTTTTCTAATAGGTACCTTTAATGTATCGAAGTTGATCTGCGCGTATCAGATTAAACCTTTCATCCTTTCAGTCTGATGAATCCGTTCTTTAAATGCTCTAGAAGATTCTTCATGGTTAACAATGAATATTGCAGGATCGAAATAATAGTACCGGTAGGTACGTTTCATGTCTCGGCATTTGAACTAAATTATTATTAGTACGGTAAAATATTCTTGTCAAGAACTCAGATCAACATACCGGTATGCTTCATCCGAAGGACATGTACTATTGCTTCTGACTTTGCAATATGTTGATGATACTCGTACAGAATCTGCTTTAATAAAACTAGGCCATCTTCTTCTGCAAGAGCCATTCACGTGGCACTAACATTAGCTATAACCACGCTTTCCATCTTCTGTGTTACTATATCGCGATCTCGGCGCCTATCTTCACTGAGCCTCCAACTGAGCGGCCATCTACTAACTCAACGTTGGACTCGCCTCTTCCAAGTGCTTGCCGAACCTGTGCTCGCTTTAATGAACAATTCGCTAAATCTACCACGACTCGTGCTGGCCTGATGCCCAATAACAAGAAACTCACCCAATCTAGCACGACCCCTGCCGGTTTGGGACCAATAAAGAGAAACTGACTCAATCTATCTCGGCCGGTCAGTGACCAATAACAAGAAACTCACCCAATCTAGCACAACTCGTGCCCGTCAGTGACCAATAACAAGAAACTCACCCAATCTACCACGACCCCTGCCGGTTTGGGACCAATAAAAAGAAACTCACCCAATCTACCACAACCCCTGCGGGTTTGTGACTAATTCTTAGTATCCTTAGTATTTGTTTGGGACATAGCAGTCCCAGGCCACGATGGATCGCCGCCTCTAATAACAAGAAACTCTCCCAATCTACCACAACCCCTGCGGGTCAGTGACCAATAACAAGAAACTCACCCAATCTACCATGACCCCTGTCGGTCAGGGACCAATAACAAGAAACTCACCCAATTTATCACAACCCCTGCCGGGCAGTGACCAATAACAAGAAACTCACCCAATTTAGCACAACCCCTGCGGGTCAGGGACCAATAACAAGAAACTCACCCAATTTACCTCGAGCGCTGCCGGTCAGTGACCAATAACACGAAACTCACCCAATTTACCTCAACCGCTGCGGGTCAGGGACCAATAACAAGAAACTCTCCCAATTTACCTCAACTACTGCCGGGTCAGTGACCAATAACAAGAAACTCACCTAATCTACCACAACCCCTGCCGGTTTGGGACCAATAACAAGAAACTCATTCAATTTACCTCGGCCGGTCAGTGACCAATAACAAGAAACTCACCCAATTTACCTCGGCCGGTCAGTGACCAATAACAAGAAACTCACCCAATTTACCACAACCCCTGCCGGTTTGGGACCAATAACAAGAAACTCATTCAATTTACCTCGGCCGGTCAGTGACCAATAACAAGAAACTCACCCAATTTACCTCGGCCGGTCAGTGACCAATAACAAGAAACTCACCCAATTTACCTCGGCTGGTCAGGGACCAATAAAAAGGAACTCACTCTATTTACCTCGACCGGTCAAGGACCCCACTTGATATTTTCCTTCTCCCCCTTCACGACTGCAGGCCCGAGAAGACGACCCTGATCTTGAAGGCTTCTATTGAACTCCGGCGCCACGTCAACTGATTCCGGAGATGAGCTTCAGACCGTGGCATCAAAATTGGCTTATTCGTCCAAATTAAAATTTTTGATTCCTTATGTGGATGGTTCAGCATTTGCGCTGTTCATTTTCTGTGCTGTTCATTCATATAGGCAAACTGATTTTTTTTGAAGGAAAAACCAAGTATTTAACTGGCACTCGATGCTTGAGAAAAAATTTTAATCTAATACCGTAATTCTTATAAATGTAGCTCCTTCAAATGGGCCATGATTTCGTTTTGTGGATATTCCATGACTCTTTACGAAATGTAGTACCGGTACTAGGTACCTATTGTTCATTTGTTATGGATGAGCCTCGTGAAACACCATACTACCAAGTTTACTCTAACTACGGTATTAAGGGAAACGTGTATTGTAATACCGCTAACGATGTGATGTGCCTCGTAAAAGTTATTGCTTTACACCAGTAGTTCTGAAATGCTTTTCATAAACTATTGAAATTTTGTTTTGCAATTGCGCAAGTTTTCATCTCCGAATGATCGTTTTTTCGGTATATATAATTTTTGTAGGTTATTCGTGACTCCAACACTTTCTTGGATTTTATCTGTCTATTTTTTCTTTAAACGTTTTCTTACAAAAGCATTGCATTTTTTGAATAAAGTGGTATGTATATATTGTACATAGAAATCGCATGCGCACAGTTTTTAGCTTTACGGTATATGAGTTAATTAGTTTCATACGTAGTTTGTTCCTTGATTCGTGGTTATTCTGTCTTCTAGAATTTTGGATTTTTCATGACAATTTAACATTTTTGGGTACGTTTTATAAATACCGGTTCAGATCTGGAATTTTGCTCGTATTCGATGAATTTTAGTATGATTTGTTTGAAAATCTTGGCACTGTAATTTTAAAATACGTTTCAAAAGTAATTTCTTTAGTGGTTGAATTTGTTATTTCGGAAAATTTTTTATTTTAGAATGTACTCTTTACTCCTGTTTCAAATAGAAAGCACTCGAATGATTGTTGCTGAACTGGGTCGTGTTTAACTCTCAGTGTACGTTTTTATTTCGATTTATTAAGATCTGAACTGAATAATGGATTCTGTACTAACTTTTGTTTTTAAGTTACTAGACTTTGTCTATGCACTGTAGTACTCTATGGTTCTTGATTGTACTCGTACCAAGTTGGGGAACTTTACGTATATTTTCAATATCTTAAAGTTGTTTCTATCAAATCATTTCATTGATAACTAAGAAACGCAAATAATAAAATCTCCAATTTCGGCCGTGATTGGTAATTTTTAATTATGCCTTAAGTAGATAAAGAATTCAATTAATTTTCTTAAGAAATAAACATTTATAAGGTATTTTTCAGATTTTTAATTCAGAAATATTATAATAGTTTCGTGCGTGGGAGCTTTCCTTTTGTTTTTCTCAAGTCTTAATATTTATCTTTACTATCATTTTATGGTACAATAGTTTATTAATGGCATTCACGTCCTATATTACTATGCGCGATTCAAGTAACGCGTAGAATTATTATTCAACTTTTTTAATATACACGTTTAATAAGAGTTATTACCATACAGAATAGAAGTGATAGAAGTAACGTTGTTCAATAACTAACTAGTGTAAAAACATGCGCGGTCCCTTATACTGAACATGTTGAACCAAACCTTATTGTTTTATTTTCCCCTGTTATTTCCTCCCGGCATTATTTTCTCAGTAAAATAGGTTACACATTTCGCTAGTAAAGGAAATGCTGTTTTCTTCGTAAAGGCTTGGTTATATAACTCACAACATGCATGCGTGTTTGTTATCATTGCCTTCATTAGCTCCGCTTATTTGAAAGGGATTCCATAAAATCTTCCTGGTATATCGTTTTCAATAGAAACCAGTCCTTTATTAACTGGCCTACCAGTTAGTTTCTTATTCTTCTCAAAATTGTTGGTTTATAATCGCATTAACTATGAAAATGAACTGAAAAATACCTCATGTTCATTCACTTGCTGTTAACTGCTCCCAAAAGCAATTTAATAGCTAACCCAAGTCTTTGTTCATGATTCAACCTGCTTGAATTTCTGTGCACCAATGCATTATCATCCTTATTTTTCAATTCCTTCATCAATCAAATTAATTAATAAATTTTGTTTATGAAGAAATTTATCTCCCCGACTAGCGTCAAATCGTGCGTACCGGTATTTAATTGCACGTTACATTTCCAGCCATTAAGACCATCATTGAAATATTCATCGTATAATCAAATCAACTCCATTGTTAGATGTCAATAATTATATTCTTAATTATTTCACCTGCGCCTCTGATCTTTAAATCTTCAAGATAATGAAAAAATTACGTATTTGCATGCTTTACTTTTTACTAATCCTTCCCTGTATCTTTTTGGGAGTAGAAGTTTTTGTTTTTTATGGGTGTTTGTGAACTCGACCGCTTGCTTGCACTAACGAAGAATTTTATATTTTGCTTGCTCCATCGATGCATGATTAGTAGTCTCAATAGGTGAATGAAATTGTTCTTCTCTTCACTCAGTCTGATGCACAGCTTAACTGTTCATTGACGCACAGTTTCAGTAATCATTGATCCACAGATTAAATGTCTGTACTTCATATCCATTTATTCTTATAATCTATTCCTCTCCATGCAGAATTCATCGCTGCTGGTGCTTCTACTTACAAACTGTGTCAAAACCCTACTTTTTGCGTTCACAATTCAACTAATTTTTTTTCAAAATACTAGAATTTGTCTCCGTTTTAGCTCACATTAATAATATGATAGGAGATACCGGCCTTAATAAAAAATGCAAATCTTTATAACGTATACATTGCTATGTTTCGCGTACTTTTCGATAGCATTTACCCACGGAAATCATCCTTTGTGTTCAACACAGACTCGAATCCCGAAATTTTGTTGAGCATTTGTTTCTTCCGAAGTAGAGTACCGTATCGTATATACTTGCACTGAAAGAAGTGGAAATGGATAACTATCGTAACGCATGCGGATTTATATTGCGGATATCGCATTTAGCATAGCTAAATTAAAAAAGTTTTATCAAGTAATTTTGAAAATTGATGTAAAGCAGATTAGTAAGCAATGAGTATACTATACTTCATCGCTGTGTTACTGGGAGCGACAGTTGTTGCTCTCGTGTAAAATGTCAATAAAATCATGCATCTAGGCTTGCGGAAAAATCTTACCTACTCTATTAAATTATCGGTAAACAGCAGCTATAACTCATGATTGCTGATTTTTTTTAATATTATTGACTTCGGTTTCCGTAGCCTCAAAAATTAAAATCACGATCGTTTATAATTTCAGTTCCTTAATTTTCACTCGGAAATCGAGCCTGCAATCGATAATCGAATCGAAAGTAATGGTTTAAATTTCTGACAAACTGAACAGATCACATTATTCCCACTACTTTTTGTTGCGTTAAATGCGAATTAGCGACGAGATGAATAAATTGAATGTTTTTGACTATTTAGTTGTAATAACTTCGAATTACTGACAGATTGAGAGGATCGCATTATCCTGCCTGGTTTTTAGTGATCAGTTTGTATTACTGATGAATTTTAGAGATCTTTTTTTTTTTTCTCTCAGTATGTAGACAATTTCAGTGATATAAAACGCAAAACCAGTTGGTGCCGTTAGTGTTATCCCAATCGCGGACGTCGAATAGCGAACAGAACTATTGCCTTTGTCGAGTAGGTACGTAGCTAATATCTCGAACTTATATCTCCACAATATAAAGAAAGTGTGCTAAAAGATGTCGATGCGAAGCAATTATGAAAAAAAATCATCTCCCTTGAATTAAAACAAAGTCTACCTGGTTTCAAAAAGATTTTACCCAATGAATTTGAGGTTAAAAATTAACCCGACATAAATGAAAATAGCTTGAATTCTACCGACGATATGAAGTACGCTACACATACATTGTGTGCTGCGGTGTTCCTTTATAAATTTTCAATACATTTCTGCGAAAAGTTACATGAGCTTGTAGGAAAAAAAATATATCTGAGAATTTTCATTGCCTCTAGGGCTTATTTAATGATAATATAGTTGCAGAAATTAGTGAGTGTCGTTAAATTTTCTCAGCTCGCTTGTATTTTACATAAATTAACATTTATGCATCCACGGCTAGCACAGACGCTAACTAGGCACGTAGCATCTTTCAAATCTTACGTAGAAAAGCCAATTATTACCGAAAAGTGCCAATTATTCGCCGAAATGAGCCAATTATTCAATTATTCACCAAAAAAGCCAATTATTACTAAAAAAAGCCAATTATTCTCCGAAAAAAGCCAATTATTCACCGAAAAAACAATCATTCATCGAAAGAGGCCAATCATTCACCGAAAAAATCCAATCATTCACTGAAAGAGGCCAATCACTCACCGAAAGAAGCCAATCATTCACCGAAAAAAGCCAATCATTCACCGAAAGAGGCCAATCATTCACCGAAAAAAACAATCATTCACCGAAAAGAGGCCAATCATTCACCGAAAAAAGCCAATCACTCACCGAAAAAAGCCAATCATTCACCGAAAGAGGCCAATCATTCACCGAAAAAAAAACAATCATTCACCGAAAAGAGGCCAATCATTCACCGAAAAAAGCCAATCATTCACCGAAAGAGGCCAATCATTCACCGAAAAAAAAACAATCATTCACCGAAAAGAGGCCAAACATTCACCGAAAAAGGCCAATCATTCACCGTAAAGAGCATTTATCTCCATCATTATTTCCTGGTCTTGCAAGCATACTAGTACAGTAGGTACGGTATCATAAATACCGTATATTCTCGAACTAGTTGCCACGACTCGGGCATTGGCTTGTCTTACACCCACAGAGATTGTATTATTAGCTTGAGCTAAGTAATGGAAATCAGTCAAGCTTTTAAGATGTGCTTGCACTGTTAGAAAAAACGGTGAAAAAACGGCCCCACCGGCGTCCTAGTGGCCGGTCGCCCAGTGAAAATAAACTGTTTCGCCATTTTTATCAGATGTTCTACGGATTTCTGGTGTTAAATTGGAATAAAAACGGTGGCACGGTGTTTCTTTTCACGTGCCGACCGGCCACTGAAACGCCGGTAATACCGTTAACGGTAATTTTTCTAACAGTGAAGTATCTTCGTGTAGACAGCTTGTAATGTTGTATTTTCTGGACGGACATTTTGTTCGTTCAAATGACGTGCAATCTTAAGTGGAAAAAATTTAACTCAGTACTCACAGCAGTGAAGTGACAGAGAGCGCATTTTCTCAAAATCGACGAAAACGTGAAGTCAGTGACAAATAACAGACGGACGGACGGACATATGACGAGCACAATAGCGCCTCTTTTACATACATGAGAAAATGCGCTAAAAATGGCTGAAGCGAAGATATATTTTCAAACAATCATCAGACCTTTTTTCGGACCATCATCGCAATAGTGGCATCGTGGCAGACCATGGGAAGCCCCAGACGGTGTTTTATAAGATGACAATGGAAACGAGTGATGTATATACTTTCTTGAGACAATTTATTTTTGAAATTCCAATACTTTTTACACTTAGAACGATGATTGCAATGCATATAATGACTTGCTTCCTGTATAGAATTACCAGTTAAAAAAACTCAAAAAGTTTTCTTTGCAGATCCTTTGCAGGAATGAAAATATTTTTCTCTGCAAATGCAACTCTTTCGGACATCATGCACCAGTGTTTTAAATGAGCACCCGCAAACGCTTGGACAACAGTTTTCCTAGAAAGTTTCCATCCAGCACGAAATTAAAACTAAGTTCCGAACATTAAATACGAGAGTGTCCCCTCGACCAATCATGCGTCAAACAACGTAATTGTTGTTCATTCCGTCATTTCGTTATTTTGTTTGAACGTTTGATGTATTAACAATAATGTCTGTACCGGTCATCTTAGAAGTGTCGGCACTGAAGAAATATAATTATCTTGTCGATGAAATTTTACTTTTGCATACAATACAAACATTTTATGACCTTATAATAATATTATTATATTGTGGCCGCGACGATATTTTTGACCAACGTCAAATGTAAGTCAACTTATAAAAGTCAATATGAGAGATTCAATTGAATTCCCCGTACGTAGTATAATGCCAATTTTATAGGCCTATACGTCAGCAAGTGGTACATGATGAGCATGAGCTTGCCTCGTTTCTAAGCGACTGGTATATAATTGGCATACTATATAATTAGTTTGTTTGAATCATATTTTACATCCTGCATTTTAAGCTTTTACTCAGCAATATCGATGTCTACTTGTGGTACTCCATGAGACGTG